TCAGATATTTCATATTATCCAAAATATCCATAAGAGCGATAATTTATTTATCATAATTATTCACAAATCTTTATTTTGTAATATATTCCACGAGCACTGATCACGGTACAAGAATTTTTACACAGTTATTTTCACCTTTGTCTTCTACCTCTTTTCTATCTCGAAATACAAAAAAAAGGGCCAAGAGGTGTTCCATTTGCGCGGTTCACCGTGTGTTTAATTTTTACCGAGCAACGAGGGAAGTTTAGCTTAATTGGAGAAGAAAGGATGCAATTCTGTATTTTTAAGTATTCCTCAAGTAACAACTCTCAATATTTGCGTTCGTAAAAAAAGAAGAAAAAGAACGGTAGAAAGTAGTTCGATCCAATAGGCAAAGTACGGTGTAAAAGTGTACTTTTGCTTCAGTTTCCTTCTTACGTAGATCCGCGTAAAGGTTTTCTGTTTTGAATTCGTGTGAGTCGTTTAAGGGAAAATAAGGATTCCTTCCGTAGAACAGGATTAAACTTCTAATTATCCACGGTCAGCACGTTCTAAGTGGTTTCTGCAGACCAATTCAAAAGTTTCCCGCTCGTTCTTGAAAAACAAGAGGATACGAGCCAGCGAAGAGGCGTTTTATTTGTTAACGAGTGCGCCGGAATTTAGCTACTTTTTACACGAGCTTTCTTTGTCGGAGCGTAGGGTTAATGGTAGTTGAAAGTGTGAAAGGGGAAAAAAACACGCACGTACGAAGCGTAATACCGTATTTATTCTGTTCGCTATTTTTTTTTAAACAAATTGTATTTTTTTGGAAGATTTGTACCTTTCTGTTGTTCACATTTAACGCTTCTCCACTTGCCCGTTCTTTCACGCCCGTTCCACTTTCTTGTTTATTGCCATTTTTATTTCTCCTCCCTTCCTCCTTTTCTGATTGCAATTTTTCTGTCTTTGTTCCCTGCTTTCTTTCCTTCTATTTTCGCTTTTTTATGTTTTCCTGTGCACCCGTGTTTCCCAACCGTGTTCCCTTTTATTTTTCCCGCCGTATTTTCTCGCGCATACGTGTTTCTGAAATGAGGAGATTTATTAGAATCGTTTTTCATCCCTCCGCGTTTAATTCCATTTATTTATGCAATTCCATCTCGGCGTTTCGTCGTTGTGAAACGCTGTTGATGTTTCGCCGCCGTGGATGAAACTGAAGCTTTTCAAGCGTTCCGCATTTTCGTATGGTAATCAAATCTTTTCGCATTTGTCAAGTATCTCAGGTACACGCAGTAAATTTCAAAATTACAATTGTATATCATTTCTGACGATTCAGAAAAAGATCCATGCATTATTAAAGAATACAAAACGTACAAAATTCTAAAACGAGGAACAGTGTTAAAAAGAAAAAAAAATAGGAAATTATGAAGAATAGTGTATCACTTAGAGCGATAAATATGGAAAATCTGTGACAAGAGGTGTTTAGCTCATAAATTTTGCACGTTTGCATCTCTCACGTTGGCAAACACGCGAAACCAAGGTGAACGACGATTCAGAAAAAGATCCATGCATTATTAAAGAATACAAAACGTACAAAATTCTAAAACGAGGAACAGTGTTAAAAAAAAAAAAAAATAGGAAATTATGAAGAATAGTGTATCATTTAGAGCGATAAATATGGAAAATCTGTGACAAGAGGTGTTTAGCTCATAAATTTTGCACATTTGCATCTCTCACGTTGGCAAACACGCGAAACCAAGGTGAACACAAGAGAACGAGGAGGGGAAAAAAGCAATTCTGCGGTATCGCACAGTGTGCAAAGTATCTTCGGAAAAAGGAATTCTTAATGGATCAGAGGCGATCTCTTTCGGCGGTGGCTCGGTCTCAAACGGAATTTTCATTAAAAACTCACGCATGAGGAATGACGTATCATGATAGTGCCTGGTGCAGCCGCTGCAATTCCCCAATCTGAGACGCTGAGTAAACCGAGTCTCCCTAATGCGCAGACGTCTAGGCCCTCGAAGCTGAATGGCTTAACCGTCGGTTAATCGCCGTGTGAATATTTCACCGAGCAATTTTCCCGTTGAATAAGAGCCAAAGGGAGCTTCAGCAGAACCTGTTACCGTCTATTCGTGCACACGCGAGGATTGCATCAACAGCGAGCGCCCTTCTTTCTCTCTCTCTCTCTCTCTCTCCCCCTTTTCTCATGTGCTCTCTTACTCGCTCACCCTTTGGAATCTTAATCAGAAACGTGGAGGAAGTTAGCGTGATCATGATTAAAACGTTCTCTGAGCAACGTATTTCTGTGTTCCGTGATATACACGGTGGTTTAGCAGAGATGAACGTGGATCTCTTGTTTTCCGTTTGGAATTTTGAAACCCTTTCGTATCTTTGGGAGAGAATTTTTACCGATTTAATTGCGTTTATGTTAATTTCGCGGATGAAATTTTACTGCAGTGTATTTTTTTTTAATTTTCAACTCCAATATAAGTGAAAAGTTGAAAATTAATGTTATTGATTTTCGGTAAACTGAATCATCCAAACTTCCGTAAAATTCGCCTGGGATGAAATTTCACTTATTGTAGCTTTTAAGGGTTAATTATAATGTCATTAGAATTTTTTAATTTTTTATGAGAAATTTTCACAATGAGCTTTCATATAAATAAATTTAAGCTAAGCCTAAATCTTAATTTTTCCAAAATTCCTTGGATATTAATACTCACAGCAATTTCTTTTCCTGAACCCCCTAATTCCCGAAATATTTCGGAAAATACGTTTCAATCCCTAATTTTGAGCATTTCTTTCACCTCTTCAATATGAATCTAAACTTAGCCTAAATCTTTATCTTCTCAAAATTCTGTGCACAATAATACCTACAGTAAAGCTGAATAAATAATTCTCTGTCACTTACAATCTTTTCCTAGATTTCCCCGAAATATTCCAGAAAATACGTCTTGAACCCCAACTTTGACAATTTTTGTCACCCCTTCAATATAGACGATCATCGATAAAAAAGAAAAAACACGTGTCAGATATTTTCCCGAGAACTATCTCCCACATAAGTTTCATCAAAATCGTCGCTCCGATAGGCACGCTCCCTTGTTAGTCGAATTTACAGGCTGTCTTGTATTTTACCCTCCGGCAATCGTGTACACGCGAACGTTTCTATATGCAACGATGATACTATGGCCCGTTGCTATCGGGGACAAAGGACTGGGATAACAGAGGAACAAAGAGAAAAAGGAGAGAAAAAAAAGGGAGACTGGCCTGCTTCGAGGGAAATACTTGAACGGGCTAAACGACAACTTGAATGGTACTTGTATGGGCATTCAACGCAGCAAATGAACCCTCGAATACGAAATTAGACGCGAGTCGGGAAAGGTGGATGATTTGTGAAAGGGATGACAGAGAAGGAGGATCTGTTGAATGTTTGAACTCGATTCTATGGTGATCTCGTTCGTTCGTATTTTGGATGCGCGAGTTTAAGTAGCTCCGGTTTCTGCGATGAATTACTGTTAAAGGAGTTTGGTAATGAGTTTTCACCGGTTACGAATTTACGGGAATACAAATTGCAGACGTTGGATATGTCGGAGTTGAATTTGAAAGTTAGCGCGAAAGTTAGATAAGATGGGGAATATAGTTCGATATTTTCGTACTTGGTGAATGATCTGTGAGTAAATTTCATTTTGGAAGCGTGAAGTGTTATGTTATTGGCGGTATATATTTCTGT